TCGTCCACCAGTCTGCTGGTCCCTCGCAGCCACTTTTTTTTGAACATTGTGCTCTCTGCTGCTACCTTAAGCTTATCTTTTCAGAAGACAGTTCTCAGAAAGCAGATAGCACGCGCCGTATTTGGGGGCAGGTTGGGGGTGGAGCTTGGGGTACACTCAGGCTGCTGCTGCATGGACCCATCACATGCCACCAGGAAGCTCTTGCTGCGCTGAGCAGCAGCGGGGATCAGGGGCTCTGACACAGCCGGGCATCAGGCCCAGGGAGGGCTGGTGTTGGCGTAGAAATGGGAGCCGCTGGGTTAACTCCCTGGTCCAGGCTTTTCCATGTTGGTTATAGACATATTTCTGTTTGTGTGTCTGGAACTGGAGCTGCCACACTGCTGAGTTTTCACTGGCGCGACTTTTAAGTAGGAGAAAACAAACCGTCATTTGAACAACGTTATTAAGAGTATATAAAATGAAATGAGGCACATAGATTCGTGGTGTCCACTCCTTGCCTTCCCTGTGGGGACAGGGTTTTAGCCGATGTAACATGTGCGTTGTTGTCCACTGTGTCCCAAGGGCACCCAGGGCTAATACGGCCTACACACCTCATCACCCAGACTTAAATCACCTAAGAGACCTCAGTGGGGAGAAGTCAGGATAGGGGCCTGGAATTCTCTTCAACTAGTGAAATAGTGAACAGTAAGAGGAAGTGTGTATACTTAGCAAGAACAAAAGAATGGCCCTGTCTAGTCATTCATTCAACAAATAATTATTGTGCACCTGTTCTGTGCGGGGCACTGTTCTAGGTGCTTGGTTATATCGGGGAACAAAAGAAAGATTGCTGCCCTTGTGACCCTGGCATTCAGGTAGGAGATGCAGACCATAAGCAGCACATTTAAGTTAAATTAGGTGATAAATAGACAAATTAGTAAAGCAGATGAAGCGGGTGAGGGGAGGGGAGGGGAAGTGAACGTGTATTTGGTAGGGCCGGCGAACGTGTCTCTGGGGCTAATCGTTTTATTTAGGTGTCTAATAATGACGCCAATAATAGTATTACTGGCCAACACGTACCAAGGCTGACTCCATGCTCTCACTGTGCCAGGCATTTGTTTGGCTCTCTCATTTAATCCACAGGGCTACCCTGGTTCTTCAGGTCTCTAAGGCCAAGCGCCAGACCTTGGTTCTTGGCCTTGGTCTTCTCCAGCATCATGCTTTGTCTTTGTAACAGGACTTACTTCCGAAACGCTGGTCTTCATTGAAATGTTGCGTGTAGCAGCTGTCCCCGTGAACCCCAGGGCCCACGGAGAACACTGGTTAACCTCCTCAGTAAACGGACCCAGGATGTCCTTTGTGAACCCAAGTACCAGTGGCAGGATTTTCTGTGCAGGTAGATGGGAATGAAAAAGCAACCGGCAGGGGCCTTGTGGTCTGTGTGGCTCCGATTTCACACACTGCCTGGGGACCGCTGGCTAAAGACACCAGCTTATGGATGGCACGGCCCATTGCTCTTCATTGCTTTGTTATAGGCACAGTGAGGACAGAGTTCAGGCTGATTGCTGGTGGCCTCGCTGTTTCTGTCACTTCGTTTTTTACCTACTAGAGGACTTGGGGTTGGTTAGGACTTTGAAAGTCTTCTCAGCCAGGCTTTCCCCCGAGGTAGGCCAGTGGGAGAATCACATCCCCCAGAGGCCCTCCCTGGGCCTTCAGGCATGGGAGGAAAGATGGGGCTACCAAACACTTCTCTGATAAGACATTGGCTTCAAACCAGGATTGGGTACCTAGAGTTCGAGAAGAATCCAGCCATCGCCCACCCTGTCGGCTAGAGGGAATACATCCACACATTCTATAGCCTTTATGAGCACGGTCTGATCCTGGAGCTGCCATAAAAGAACAGAAGGAAAAGTTGATAAGTCGATGGTAACCCTGGGCATGGCCATAATTAGGTCCTGAGAATGGATGTAATGTAGCTTTCAGATAGGATGGAAGGCTTCGGTAGAATAATGATTGACTGAAAAAACAATAAGTAAACTTTGAGCCAGAGATTTTATCTATCAGTGCAAATCACACACCGAGTCAGAACTGCAGATGACACATAACAGTTCCTGGAACTAATGATGTGTGGGTGTGTGTGTGTGTGTGTGTTTGTTTTTTTGCATGAACTGGTCACTTTTTATCCCACTTTCTGTTCTGTCCCTGTAAGAATCGCCTCTTTCTCCAGATGCATCATCCATCCTACATTATCCCCACGAGCTCCGTTCTGCACCACACGCTTGGTGATGGTAATGCTGCATGCCCATGATCTCTCTCGGTTTCCACTGTCTGCACCCAAGATCACTGCGCTTGCCTAGCTGCCAGCTCCATGGCCTTGAACATGACCTCAGCCCTCACTTCCAGCCCTCTCTCCTCTCCCTTCCCTCTACCTCAGTCATGGGCCCAAATTACACTCATCTCTCTCTCTTTAACATCCAGTGACCCCTTGATATCACCACCACTCCTTTGGCACATGGCCCATATTTCCCCCACTGTCTTGCTCATCTTCTCATATTTAAATGCAAGGATGGGGAGCTTTTTCCATATTAATCCTCATCCAGTCTATATGGCCAAGCATGAGATACGACACTAGAGTCACTCCCAATTACAGTTAACCCTTGAACCACATGGAGGTTAGGGGTACTCACACTCTTCCCTGTTGAAAATTAATGTCTTAACTTTTTGGCTGTTCAAAACTCACCTACTAATAGCCTACTGTGGACTACTATTGACTAGAGGCCTTGCCAATAACATAAAGTCGTCTAACACATATTTTGTATGATTTATGTATCATATGCTGTGTTCTTCCAATAAAGTAAACTAGAGAAAAGACAAAGTTATTAGGGAAATCACAAGGAAGTGAAAATACGCATATAGTACCGTATACAATCTCCATGTAAGTGGACCCGTACAATTAAGCAGAGTTGTTCAAGGGCCGACTCTAAGTTAGTGGAGGCCTAACCAGCAGCTGCTCCCTTCCCCTGCCCCCAAAGAGAAATCTTGAGGAATCTCGCCATTGGTTTTGCTTACACCAGCATTGCACACCCTCTGCAGACCCCCACAAGGCATCCCAGCAAATGCTTGCAAGAGCCCTCACCTCAACCGCAGGCCCCATGAAAAAATTGGGATTTCTGTTTGTGTTTGTTTTGCTTTTAACCAAGAGGAAGGATCTATGTGCAGGAGAATTGTGAAAGAAAAAATAACACCAAATAAAAATAAAAACGACCACTTAAAGGCACGGAGCTTTGTCTCTCTTCTGCCCCTGACTCTCCCCTTCCCCCTCCCATCCCCATTCCGCTCACTTTCTGTTTTGCTTTTCATGCCAGTTGCTACAGACGGTAATTTTAAAGCTGCACTGGCTTTTCCAGAGCCAGAGGAATGTGCATCCGCACGTGGATTTTTCCACAAGAAAACTATCCCTGTCTTTTGGTTCTTCTGAGCCAGAACCGATGAGAACAGGCCATGGGCTGAGCCAGTCCATCCTCTCCGCTCTTACTCTGATTTGCTGGGGAGGCTCAGAAGGGGTGGAGGGGGCTGGTTTGCATTCCACCCCGTCAGGCTGTTGTTTGATGAGGTTTGTGCCCCATTTGTTCGGATGGTTTTTATGGTTTCTTTGTTGTTCGTGGAAAGACTTTGAAAGTCATAATTCTGAATCCTTAAACTCTTCTGCTGTTCCTGCTCAGTGTCTCAACGGGACTCACACCCCGAGAAAGGAGAAGAGGAAGCTTTCCAGCCAGTTAGTTGTGCAGTTTCTGGACGGACGTGGTTATGGAGGCATGTGGACTCTCTCGGGAAAGAGGCTGGGATCACAAAGGCACAGGTTCAGTGGAAGGTTCTGCAGGGCAACTAGAGAGTGAGCCTTGAGGCCTTCCCAGGCAGGAAGCCTCGTCTCTACACCCTTCTTTCTAATCCCCCTGCTTCCAGCCACACCTCTGGCCTTCCTCCTTTCTCTGTGGTCGTCAGGCCCAAGCCTTCCACTTGGGTTGGAAGAGTATGGAGAGTCTGGAATGTGCTCCTGCTTCTGAGATATCAGTGCACTGAAGCAAGGGGCCAGGGTTGGCCGCCAGGAACATCACGAGCCTGGTCTTTGAGACATTCTTCCCATGTAGTCTTTAACCTGGACATTGCCCATCTCATCAGAGCTGCTGAAAGGCCTTTGCTACCCAACTATAGACAATTTTTTGTCTTTCTAATCTTGTATTAGTTTATATTTGTAGAAAACTTTAGAAGATGCCTCACATACATTGTCTCCTTTGATTACAGCCTGTCTTAGGCTACTACAATAACAAGGTACCATAGACGGAATGGCTTAGAAACAATAGCTCTTTACCATACATCTCCAGGCTAGCTGAGATCCCGGTGCCAGCATGGTGGGGTTCTGGTGAGAGCTCTCTTCTGGGTCAGAGACTGCTGACTTCTTACTGTACATGCATGTGACAGAAAGAGGACAAGTTAACTGTAGGGCCTCCTCTTAGAAGGGCATTGATGAGATCCCATTGATGAAAGCTCGACTCTCACCACCTAATTACCTCCCAAAGCCCACACCTCCTTGTACCATCACACCACACCAGGGATGAAACAGCAACACATGTGAATTTAGGAGCTGGCGGGGGCAGAGGACACATAATCCTCAGTTCGAGACATTGCAGGTCAAGTTCCGTGTCCATATTAGAGAATATTGAAGCTTGGGGAAGTGTTATGATTCATCCAAAGTCCCAGAACAAATAGTGGCAGAGGCAGAGCTTGAAACAATCCTCTGATTTCAAATTCTGGTTGCTTCCCATTACCCCAGGCAGGTTGCAATCACTGTTAATGTTCATCCCACCCCGACCCTGATCGGAGAGGACACTTCTGGAATTCAGTCATGCTTAAGAAGACATGGCTGATTAAATCGAATTTCTCCTGATCGCGGAAAGAGAATCCTCCTGGCACCCTTCTGGAAAGCTGGAGATGCTAATGTACCTCTGCTTGTTGTTTTTCAATAGACCCTTCTTATGACTCAGTCCGGAGAGGATGGGGCAATAACGTGAATTCTGGCCTCAACAAAAGTAAGTAAATGTCATACTCAAACATTTTTTCTGCAAACACGGGTGGAGAACGGGGTCATGAGCTAAAGCAGGGCAGGAGTGAGCTCACGTTGTCTTGCTTGCAGAGAGGACATCAAAATTCACTGCCAGGGTAGGACGATCCATGATACCTGCTCCCTGAAAGATGGTGAGGGGTTTTCATGCAGGCCTTTCGGTTGTGTTGCACTACATGTGGTTTTCACCTTTTTGAAGCTAGAAGGCTTCTCAGGACTGGGTTTTCTATATGCATGGAAGGCCACTGGATTTGGATCTTGCCATTCATGTTACGATGACAATCCTCCATGACTTTCCTCCTCTGAGCACCAAAATTTGATCATACCAGCATCCCTGCCCTGGTATGGATATCCCTGAAGGCTGGAATGGAGGATAGTCTTATGAGGCGGTCATAGGGGTCTGACCCATCAATTTGTGTTCAAGTCCAACCCAAAATTTCCCACTAAGGGAGTAGGGAAAGAGAATGACTATACATTCCTAACCAGAGTGTGTGAAGCTTGCTATCTGTAGGAAGCACATGGGTGGTGAAGGGACTTCTTCCAAGAAGAGGTTGGGATTACAAAGTTAATGCCCAAGCAATTTCTAGGACCCCTTTCAGTACTATGTCTTTGTTGTTTGTTTATTCTGTGCCCAGGACTTGGCACTCTCGGGTTCATAAAGATGAATTAAACACAGGCCAGTCTGTCAAGCTGGGGAGAGGGTTTACACACACACACAGCTCTTTTCATCTGGGTGGTATCAAGGAAGGCCTGTGAATCTGGCATCATTTGAGTTGTGTCCAGAGGAGAGGCAGGGTTTGGGCCTGCAGAGATGGGGAAGACAGGCTCTGCTGGGAGGGGGCGGGCAGGGAAAGATGTCAAGGTTGACATGTCTGACAGTCAGGGACCATTCCAGGTTCCTAGAGTTTAGGATGCACAGAGGGAAAGCAGTCTGGAAAGGCAAGGAAGGGGCATGAAGAATGCTGTGAAGGTGGACCTTCCTTCTTTAGTCAGTGAGGACTCACAAAGGTGTTTGGATGGTGGAGTGAAATGGTTTAGGGAAATGAAACTGGCTAAATATCATATGATGGGCCAGTGGGAAGAGAGGGGTGTAGTGAGGATATAGTCAGACTCAGCCACAAACCATTCAAGAAGCTCTGTAGGTCTAGGATGGAGAAGCTATGTGGGAGCAGAAAGGTTGCATGTGAGCAGTTTCCACGAGAGGACCTCACAAAACATGGAGACACAACAAGCAGGTGACGTTCACTCACATGTCACCATCCCATTAAGAACCTCTAAATTTCCTACTTAAAAATGCAGTTCACAACAGCAATACCACTAGGCATGCTGTGCTGTATGCTTGTTGCAGTTTCTCGTCTCCCTGTGAAAACCTAAGTTTTTCTGGAACCGCTGGTTCATTGCTGAATCTCCAGCACCAAGAATACTGCCAGGACTAGTAGATTCTAGACAAATATTTATAAGATTTATTTATTTGAGAGAGAGAGAGAGAGAGAGAGAGAGAGAGCAAGTGAATGGAGGGAGGAGCAGGAGGAGAGAGAGAATCTTTCAAGCGGATTCCCCACTGAACATGGAGCCCGACCCAGGGCTTGATCTCATGACCCTGAGATTATGACCTGAGCTGAAACCAAGGGTTGGATGCTCAACTGACTGAGCCATCCAGACATCTCTTTAGATAATAATTCATAAAATAAAATAAATAAAATAAAATAAATAGTGAGTAGAGAGTGGGTGGATGAGCGAATGCATGAGGAAGCACACTGTGGAGGGCTTTTAACAAGACATTTCTCTTCCCTCATGGATGGTGGCCCCACTCACCTTATGTCTTTCCCCACCACAGGTCCCCCACTGGCAGGAGCACAAGCAATGAGTAAGAATACTGAACAAAGGCCCCAACCAGGTACCTGTCTGGGATGGGTAATTCCTTCTTTGCTCCTTATATAGCCGTTGATTCCATGTGGTCACCTGAGGAGGACTGAATCAATATGTGGCATTTTTCTTTCATGGAGGGTCGCTATTTAGCTCCCTCTACGAGCTCTGTGAATGAAAAATGGCAGGCACTAGAACCAGGGGAAGGTTTGTTAAATATCAGGGGTAAAAAGAATGTAAAGGTTAAATGTCCCCATGCCTCATTTTGTAAAATAAAGAAACTGAGGCCCAGGGAAGGAAAGTAATTTGCCAAAAACCACACAGCTGGTTTATGAGAGAGCTAGAGCTCTAACCCACAGACTCCCGAGCTGCTGTCCAAACCTTTAAGGCTCCGCAAAACCTTTCTTCTAAAACTACCCCTGTCCCGTGATGGGTCTGCTTAGCAGATTAAGCAGGGGGTCTTCTAAAACCATGGAATTGGTCTCTTGGTATTGGAGTGAAACTAGGTCTGTAACATCCTTCTATGACATCTGTCCTATGATTACCTCACCTCTACATGAGTATTTGTAGCAACAAAGAGTTCGCTACCTCCTTAGGCTCATTTCCACTATTGGGGCCAAAGTCCCCCTCCTTGAAACTGCCTCCTTGTAGGCTTTCTAGTTTGCCCTCTGGAAAGCCTTCCTCTGGTTCTGTGGGAAGGTCCTTCCCATATCTGAACACAGCTGCCGTGTCCACTCCCAAGTCCAGCTCTGTCTTCTCTGTGTGACACAGTTGAGACTAAGTTCTGGACAAAGCCACTTGCTTTGTGACAGAGAAACAGCATTTTCCATCTCTACTGAAGGCAAAGCAACAGAGTTGACCTACATGTCATCGAGAAGGTTAGGAAAGCCCGTGCTGAGTGAAACACCCAAGCCAAACAGGACTTGACAGCGGATGTAAAGAATTCCTAGTGACAACAGCATCAGACATTACCTGCCAAAAATATTTCAGTTGTCGTACTGAGTGTGTATATGGATGGGAAAGGGTTGACTAAGCAGCTTTGGGGACTTTTCAAGTTAATTCACAATGGTAAGCAGAAACCCCCAAATCATGTGGATTTCTTAAAAATGACCAAGTGCAAAAATAGTAAAATTGTATCAAACATTTAACAAGCTGGATGAATTATGAATTATCAGGATTTCCTCGTCTGAGAAGAAGAAGACCAATCTCGTGGAACCAATATTGCAAAGATTCTTTTTATAATTAAATAATCACGTGAGTTTCACGGAGACAGAGATAGAAAATACAGTCATTTTATAGCCCAAATACAAAATCTGGCTAGTATTGTCATTTCAAAGTGGAAGGTGCCAGAATTTGGTACTAGTCGGGGATGGAGATTGCCCAGTGAGTTCTTTAGTTTATAACACAGCTGGGGCTGGGACCCAGGCTGTCTGATTTCGGGGCTCATGTTTTTTTACACCCCATCTTAAAACCAGAGATGGGTACAGAGCTGTTAAGGACCAGGAGTTCGTTAGACCTTTCTTTAAACCCATTTTGATAAAACATCTTTCACCTTATTCATGAAGATTGAATATTAGCCAGCTTCTTTCCAAATGGTTTCCATTTTAGGTAATGACAGCATTATCTACAAATTTTAGACACCGAATATGAAAAACAATGATGCTGCTAGTACCCTGTGTTTCTGCAATGATGAGGATGACCACCCGTAACTGCTCCAGATCTTTGAGGTCTGCACATAAAAGCAGTACAGTTTTCTGAAATCAGTTTTTTCCCCATAATATTGAAATAAAAGTATAAACCCCGGGGGTATTCTTATTACTAATACTGTTGGTTTTTTTATATTTTTAATAACAGTGAAGTTAATTTCCTTTTTTGCTTCCTTAGATCCATATCAGATCCTGGGCCCGACCAGCAGTCGCCTAGCCAACCCTGGTGAGTTTACTTTGGCCTGCAAGGTTTTTCTTTCCAGAATGTTCCATAGCTTTGTGAGGTCACAGACACCTGACTAAGAAGTAACATGTACTCTTTCCCTTGGAATGGTTAATATCTGCTTCTCTAGCATACAAGTGAGAGGTTGGAGCTTGTTATTAGGTGGTAGTCATGTCCATTGGCTGAGGCTGCTTCTGGAAAGCAAACATATTAGCACTGCTGCATATCTGCACGGAGGCTTGGATTTGTAATAAATGGCACAGGTAGAAATTTTTGCAGGGAAAGATGGGGAGCAAGGGAAGGAATTCCAGTGAGTTCTCAGTGATGGCCCTCATGGAAGTCACAAGTGAATAGATGTCCCAAGGACGTTTTATTCTAGAGTCTGGAGAGTATTTCAGTTATCTAGCCTCATGAAAGAGGCATGTCCCTGAAAAGTTGCAGATAAAATAAATCTGACAATGCCATGTAAGGGTCAGTATTAAAAATAGCTCTCAAACAAGTTCTAAACCAAGACCGCCAAGCACGTGAGCTACCTGGCCCTTTGCAGTGGTAAAGCCCACGCCTTCCCTTCCCAGGGAACTACCGCTGCCAGTGTCTGCAGGCCCGTTCTTTAGTGCCTGGCCATTGCTGTTTGGGGGTCCTGGGGAGAGGGGGCAGGAGAAGCCACCCAGCTCCTGCTCCTCTTATTTTTCTCTCCACCCAAGATCTTCTCTGTCAGACTTAGAGCTGAGAGCCAAGCACTAGGGTTCTGCAAAGGAACATTCCAGATCCCTTCAGCCTGGCCCCCGGGCCACACCTTCTCCCTGTAACTCTGACAGTGGTCTCCTGGCCCCGACTCCCTTTGACACCAACAGGGGACTCCCGGGTGAGAGGGAGGGACTTCATCAGTAGGCAGAGACTAGTCAGCGATGCAGCTCTTTCTAGAAGAGATTCAAAAAACAATCTTGCCAACACAGGTGGCAAGCAGCTTGCCCCGGAATCCTCCAGCTGGTTCTGGGCACCTCATTATCTACGGGGCGTTTCACGGGGCCTCGGGGCCAATCATCTTAAGGTCTCACCTTGCTGGCTCTGGCAAGCTGGGTGGCAAACAGAAAAGCGAGTCCACAAGGAAAAGGAGGGGCTGCTGGCCTAGGGAGATGCTGAACGTCAAAGGAGAGAAAGGATTTCCCCAAAGGGGGCGAGAAGATCGTTGCATTTGGGGGCCCTGGGTGCTGACTTCGCCGGGCCGAGCTACTGTGTTTTCTCCCGTTTGCAGGAAGCGGGCAGATCCAGCTGTGGCAGTTCCTCCTGGAGCTTCTCTCGGACAGTGCCAACGCCAGCTGCATCACCTGGGAGGGGACCAACGGGGAGTTCAAAATGACGGACCCCGACGAGGTGGCCCGGCGCTGGGGGGAGCGGAAGAGCAAGCCCAACATGAATTATGACAAGCTGAGCCGGGCCCTCCGATACTACTACGATAAAAACATTATGACCAAAGTGCACGGCAAAAGGTATGCCTACAAATTTGACTTCCACGGCATCGCGCAGGCCCTGCAGCCGCACCCCACCGAGTCGTCCATGTACAAGTACCCTTCCGACATCCCCTACATGCCTTCCTACCACGCCCACCAACAGAAAGTGAACTTTGTCCCCCCCCACCCGACCTCCATGCCCGTCACTTCCTCCAGCTTGTTTGGAGCGGCGTCACAATACTGGACCTCCCCCACGGGGGGGATCTACCCCAACCCCAACGTGCCCCGCCACCCTAACACCCACGTGCCCTCACACTTAGGCAGCTACTACTAGAAGCTTAACCGTCGGTGGCCTTCTACCTGAAGCCCCCATTCCTCACACTTCCTGGGATACTTTGGCCTCTGAAGGACATACGTGGCCTTGAAGAGAAAACAAAACTGGATGTTCTTTCTCGTTGGATAGAACCTTTGTTCTTTAAAAACAATCCTTTATTTTTGTTTTTTGTTTTTGTTTTTGTTTTTAACGTTGGTAACTTTTGCTTCCTCTACCTTGAACCAAGAGATGGATGATTTTCTGGGCCAGTACACCAGTTTGGATTCTCAATCCGCTATCATCTTCTGAGCTGAATCTTTAGATTACTGGAATGGTTGTATCATGGTTCTAGGGAAGAAACTGTAAACATTCTCTATGTTTTCATGACCAAAGCAGTTTCTTATCAATACACGGGTCTCATCATGGACCCTGTAGGGTTCAGTATGATAAAGAATCATGGACTTATAACCAGTTAATGCTCTGGTTTGAGACTGAGTGAAAATAGAGGCAGGAAGCTTATAATCTTATTTTAGGAGGACATATATTCAGTGGATGGCAACTGGAACATTGGTTTATAAGGCCAGTGAAGTTTTCACCCAACTGGAATTTAAAAGAAAGAACATGTGTGTGTGTATTTAAGAAGCCGTGGGCATTGCAAAATCCCTCCCAGTGGGCAATATGCACTAGGCTGACCATCCTCTCTAGAAATAGTCAAGATATGAACTAAGAAATGTTAATGCAAATGCAGACATTCCTGAAAGACAGAGAATTAAATAATTTTTTTTTAAAGTAATGACAGCGGGTCCCAGAACTTTGAAAAGTCTTAGGGATTTCTGAACACAAACAGATTCGCAAGCGCTGTGCGTTTGTCAGACCACCAGTCCAGGGTCAACCAATCAGAAGGCAACTTACTGTATAAATTATGCAGAGTTATTTTCCTATATCTCGCAGTATTAAAAATAGATAATTAAAAAAATAAAAAGAATAAATAAACGAGTTGACCTCGGTCACAAAGACAATTTTACTATCAAATCAGTCGTTATTTTTTTAAATGTAATTTGTACATCTTTTGTCAATCTGTACATTTGGGCTGTTTGTACGTTTTTATAGCTGGTTTTTAAAAAGCATAATGTGACTATTGCTAAAAAGAAAACAGGACGTTTGAGTCACTGACTTTACTAGAAAGAGAAGCACCACGCAGTATTTAATGGGCGTACACAGGCAGGTAAAGGCAATCCATTCAAATCTTTAATGCTTTGGAAATGTTTGTAAATAACCATAATGCAATAATCACAACTTTGGAAAGAACAAGCAAACCATCCCTTGTGGATACGAGGGATTTTCCTGCCCTATATATGCAATATATTTTTTAGATATTAAAATATATATAATTTTGCAAGTAATCATTGACTTTTTTTAAAACTATATTAAGTGTTAAGCTGACAACTGTCAATGAAGACTATGTTGTAAAATAATTTGACTAAATAAATTGTGCCTTCTTCTCTCAGAACTGAGGACATCGTCTTCTTATTTACCCCTCATTAGGTCAAAGGGTTTTCCCAGGGGAAGTTTCCGATTGAAACTCTTGCACCAGATAGACTTTTTCATGTGTGCATATACTGCTGTGCAGCAGAAAGCACAAAATCGGTGTGGTTTTTATTGTTGTCTGTATTAGTCAGTTTCTCTCCAGAGAAACAGAACCGGTAAGATGTGTATTTGTGGAGATTCACAATGAACACCCGGTTCACAAGACCTCGGAGGCGGAGAAGCCCCGTGACCTGGCATCTGCCAGCTGGGGACACAGGAAAGCCAGTGATGTGTGTTCTAGTGTGAGCCTGAAGGCCCAAGAACCAGGGACGCCGATGGGAGAAATCCCAGTCCCAGGGGAGGAAAAAATGTCCCACCTCAAGCAGGCAGGCAGGAAACAAAGAAGAGAATTCCTCCTTCCTGTGCCTTTTTGTTCTATTCAGACCCTCCATGGATTGGGCAATGTCCTTGGGAGTTGGGGAAAGCAATCTACTTCAGGAGTCCACAGATTCAAGTGCTAATCTCATCTGGAAACACTTGCACGTACACACTCAGAAATAATGTTTAGCCCGGGCACCCAGTGGCCCAGTCAAGTGGGTACGTAAATTACTGATGACATCTGCAGGGATTTTTTTAAATGTCATTTTAAATTCTTCCTCCGGCCTAAAGGGGCTTTATAGGATGACAGTCAGGGCCACCGATAATCCGTGTCCAAGAACTAGAATAAAGCACACAGTTCCAGTTCCATCCAGGATGGACTCCTTGTCCATTAGATTCATCCACTGCACACCTCCAACCCAAGTGACCATCCTCTTGATATTCCAGCAGAGAATAAGATGGTCTGGCTTCCTCTGGTCTCATGTCAGGATCTTATGGCCCATGGAGATCGTTAGGTTCTTTTCTCTTTCCAAGGAAGAAACCTGCTTCAAATTGCTTCACTGTTAGGTAGCTAGGTTTCCATTTCCTTTAATTTATAATGAAAACAAGTGAGGCCTGGAAAGCCCTTGATGGTATGAGAGATGAGACTCACAGTATCGGTATATGTGGAAATCTTTCCTGGGTAACACTTTGTACCTTCTAGACAACATGTCTACCTACGTGGAAACGAGGTGTGTCTCGGAATGTTGGTCTCCAATTTTTTTTAAATTGCACCCTACCATTAAACCATGTGTTAAGCAAATATTCTCAATACATGAACATGGATTTATAAATCATATACACCAACTGTTACAGTATTACTATCTATATTATAAAACAGATACAAAATAGAACATTTTCAAGAGCGATATAAATTCAAAAATAAACTGAAACTGAAATTCAAATGTTTTCTTCCTATTTTCTTCGTATCACTTATCTCTCACTGCCAATACTCAACAAGAAAGGTAATCTGAGGAGGAATGAGTATGCATGTGTACATCTGTAAGGGTTTTCTAGTGACTTCTAAGAAAGGAGAAGGTAAAAGCCGGTGTTAGTAGCCCAAGTATAGAAAAAGAAACCATAAAGGCTCGATATGTTTAAGAATAGCGTGGCTGGATCCTTTTGCAAATCTCCACAACAGCCAAGCAGTTTTCCATCAGTTTTGAAATTTGCAAAGTAATCGTTAGGGAAAATAGAGGCACGTATTTTTTGCTGCTCTGGGAAGGAAGGGATGCTCCTACCATTAGGAGTTCACCTTTTTAAGAGGTTTTCTTCATATGCCCTATCCAAACACTGGCTGAGGTCCATCACCTCTACCAAAATCTTAGAACTTTGACCAAACCTTGCCCTTGAATTTGCTCCCCAAGATGCTTCCACCTTGAGGAATTTGGTGTCTCACTAACAGGACCAAGACACCATTTCCTCCTTCTAAGCCATCTGTGTAGAATAAGGCTGGCATTCGGTCCCCTATAATGCCCAGATTTAGGGTTTACTAGCTTACTCACAGGCATCCAGCTGACTGGTGGCAGAGGACAAACAGGATCCTTGCCATCCTGGCTGCTTGCTCAGTATTTTCCCCACTCAACCATCTGTACCTGTGCCATGAAGTTCATTCAGTCGAATGCAAGGTGCAAGCCAAGCAGAGGGGAGCATAGTAAGCCCGTGAGCAGTTCTTTTGTTTCTTTAAAAGATTTTATTTATTTATTCATGAGAGACACACAGAGAGAGGCAGAGACACAGGCAGACGGAGAAGCAGGCTCCCTGTGGGGAACCCAATGTGGGACTCGATCCCAGGACCCCTGGGGTCACACCCTGAGCCGAAGGCAGATTCTCAACCACTGAGCCACCCGGGTGTCTCCTGTGAGCTGTTCTAATGGAAATTATCTTTTCCCAAGGTTTAGCATGCTAGTCAACAGCTCTTTGGAACAGAAGGTCGTTTGGTTTGGGTTTTTTTTTTCTTTTGTTTTTCTTTTCTTTCTTTCTTCTTTTTTTAATTTATCTTTCTTTCTTCTTTCTTTCTTCTTTCTTTCTTTCTTTTTTTAGTGACTAAAAGTATTGTTGACTTCCACACAAAGGAAAATATACATTCAATATCTATTGTTTTACAGCATTTCTAGTGCTCAGTGACCACAGTAAATAACACCAAAAATGACCATTTAAAAAACTTAACTAGTAATATCTGCTTACAATTGAATATGTTTATTTAGTCATGGACTAAAGTGTGGGTCACGCTAAAGTGTGGGCCCTCTGATGGGTGTATGATTAGTTTAGACCAGATGAGATCAGAAGGTTCCAGAACACCGGGGCAGAAAGTAAGATCTGTCCCTCCCAACCCTAGGGGCGGCCAGGCCAAGGCAGTGGTTAGTGAGGGCTTAGAAAGCAAAGAAAAATGAAACAAAATGCAATGTTTTCTGTAGGTGGTCTATAGACCTACATGCTCCACCTCAAGTACCTATTGAATCAACAACACACGCATGTCATCTGAAGAACTATTGAAAAGGTACCACCTTGGGGAGCAACCCTCAGGCATGGCTCTTCCGCCGTCCAGCCCCGATCCAACACCTCACTGGGGATCTGCCTCCTGGAGGCTCCTCCACCATCAGCAGCAGGGCTGCGCTTGTGTCCAGCAAGCCCTCAGGAGGAGGCAGTGGGATGGTGCTCCGTATCAATGGGTGACATGAAGAGGGGAATAAAGAACTAGAGTGAGGGGGACCAGGGGACTGGATTCTGGTAAATAAACAGAGACTTCAACTCTTCTCCAGGACGTGCTTTTTGCAAAGCCAAAAAGCACCCTGGATACCTCATCATATAGAAAGCTACTGGATTTGCCTCCGTTACCCCTTCAGCCAGGGAGCCCAGCTCCAGGATTATGAAAGGTCAGCTGATTCCAGGACTACAAATCCCAGGCTCCCCTGGGAGGGGGGATGGACACTTCTGAGAGGAAGTGGTTTAGCCAGTCAAACCTCCAGGGCTTCAGCCAATTGAAAAAGGATACGGAGGGAAGCTTTTGAAAGGAATGTCGGCTCACGTGCCTGGGGTCTGTCTCCCTCTCACTCTGACTTGGCCTCCTGTCTAATTGTTTCAGTCTGTCTGAGCTGGTAAATTCCTAAGCACACAGTCAATTTACACTTCGCTTAAAAGCTCTAAGGGGAAACAGAAAAAGTTTCCAGGGAGACCACTCACTTACCTACAACTGCTCCACCAGCCTTCTGGATTTTAACTGAGTTCGTTACTTCCTGTGTTTTCTTAGCAGGAGGAGGGAGGCAACGTAGGTAGATAAATGAGCAAGGATGCAATGCCAGAGGTGCTGGGTTCAAATTCTGACCCTTCCGCCTACTGGGCACCTCGTTTGCACTTCCCCGAACTGGGCAGCTGAGTAACGTCTCCTGTAAGAGTTCCTGTGAGGTACTGGATGACACACGTGGAAAACCCTTTATTATTAACTACTGTACGGGAAGTATATACGCAATCACTGTTATCTGCTAGTATTTGCTAGGTTTTTCCAAGAACTTTTATTAAATCCTCGGTAACCAGTGAGCACTTTGTTCGGGGAGTTGAGCGCAGGGTAGATTTTGCTTTGTGGGCAATAAGGCATTTTCCAAATGGGTGAAAAGTGGGAGTAAATTGGATTTTCCAGAGACTCATCGTGTGTCCCCCATGCCCGGCTGGCCCTCGTCGTGCCCCGCTTGGGCTCCTGCCCTCCACTGGCTCTGTGTACACCTGAGGTCTGTCAAGCACGCTGCCAAGCTGCGGGATGCTGCAAATAAAATGAGATTGTTATGAAAGAATGCTAAAAATGCCCTTTGTCAGAAATGCTGGGTTGGGTTTTTAAATCAGCTAAGAAATAGGGGCTTGGAGCTGGGATTTTATGCTTGGTAAGCTTGGCTCCGATTGTTTGCAGACCCCAAGCAGCCTGTAAGTTCCATGAGAGAAGAGACGGTGTTTTGTTTGCTGTGGTGGCAGCAGGACGCAGTAGTGGGCCAGTCGTTTACATGCTCAGAGAACAGATAAAGGGGCGGGGCGGGGGGGTGGAATCAGAGAGACCTGGGTGTGAAGCCCAGCATTTCCACTATCCTCATGATGATAACATGCTGTATCTGACGCTTGATTTTCCCCTCTGCAAAGCGAAGATTATAGTCCTAACTGTACAAGGCTATCACGAGAGCTAAGTGAGATACTACAAATAAAATGTTCCACGTGTCGAAGAGAACTGTGGAAATCCAAGATACCGTCTTGGTAAGTAGCTCTCTGTTCTTCTCTGATATCATAAAATAGAGTCAAATCACACTCCTCAATTCTTATGCATATTATGAATATACTATTCTAATTTTAAAAATTGTAAAAGCTTGAAACAGTCACAAACTAACGGAGGAGCTGCGTTTACGAAGGACATTTTTTATCGAGCCACTCCAAAGCTGCCGACCTGATGCCCCATCACACCAAATCCTTCAGTGTGCATTTCCTACAAAAAAACAAACACAAACAGTGTGTATTTCTCCTACATAATCCAATATGATCGTGAAAAATCAGAAAATTAAGATGGGCAGACCACTCCCACGTAACCCGTAGGCACCATGTACCCTTAACTAATTGTCCTACTATTGCCTTTTGTAGCAAAAGGATTCTGTTCGTAAGTCCAATTGCATTTAGTTGTCCCATGTGTTTAGTCTGCGACACTCCTGAGTCATTCCGTGACTTTTAGGACTTTGACGACTATGAGTATTTTGGGCCAGTTATTTTGTAGAATGGCCTTCAATGTGGAGATGTCTGGTATTTCTTCATTATCAGATTTAGGCTAGGAATCTCTGGTGGCAGTGATGAGTGCCTTCTCCACACACTATGGGTGGCACACACTTTCAATTTATCCCATTATTGATCAAGTTCATTTTGCGGTGTCTTCCAGTCTTGTCCACTGCACAGTTACTCTTTTCCCCTTTGCAATTAACAAGTATTTTGTGGGTAGGTACTTTGAAATTACGTAAATATTCATCTTCAAAATTCAATATGTTCATTCATTTATTTTGCTAGAGACTCATGGTTTCTTATTTTATCTGCTGGATATATGTTCCTATCATTGTTTGATTTGGTGATGCACTTGCTCCAGTGAGACGCTATTTAAGCTGGCTTGTGTGTCCTTTGATATGTTCCCTTGATATGTCCTTTGATCTGCTCAAGAGATCTTTGAGCACTTCCTTGTTTTTCCAGCAACATATTTTAGGCTCCTTGTCCTAACCATGAAATCTATTGTTTCCTCTTAGGATCTCTTGGAGAAAAGGTTCTTTTTAATGGGAAATGATATTTAGAACCCAATATCTCGGTGCTAGATGTGCTCATTGCTATTGTAGCATCACTGCTCCTGGACCTTTTCAGGGGACAGAGCTAAGCAACATTTGTACCTGCATATACATACATCACATAGACACAACAGAAAGAGATCTATATACACACATATCCCGTTAGGGTTGTCCAGAGAAACAAGCTGATGAGCCTGGAAAGCCAGTGATGTAATTCAATCTCAGTCAGTCCAAAGGCCAGAGAATGGGGTGGGAGGGGGGGCAATGATGTAAGTCCCAAGCCAATTCTGAAAACCTGAGAACCAGGAGTGCTGGTGTCTGAGGACGGAAGAAGGTGGATGTCTCAGATGAAGCAGAGGAAAAGGATTTACCCTTTCTTCCCCTTTTTGTGCAGATTGTCCCTCAACAGACTGGATGGTGCCCACCCACACTGGTGAGGAAGATCTTTCCTCTGGTCTACTGTATCAAATGCTAATCTTTCCCAGAAACACCCTCACAGACACACCCAGAAATAATGTTTTACCAGCTATCCGGGCAACACTTCACCCAGTCAAATTGACACATAAAAATAACCATCACATATGCTTAGACATTGGTATCTGTATTTATTTCTTTATCTATTCATATTGAAAACCCGAAGTTCACGCAGATGCAGCCATTTCTGATCTAACACCACAGGGTTCACCTAGTTTTTCCCCTTCCTTATTGTAATTCCCTTATTTGACAATGAGAAACATGGTTTCCATTAAGCAGAATATATGCACTTATCAATTCTGCAAGTAACCGTGTCCATCTCTGCTGCCCCGCTGCCCCCCCTCCCCGCTCCCAGTTCCGACTCTGGCCACCTCACCATGTGCTCCCTCCTTACCCTACACCAGGCTGTGCTTCCGTATAGATGTCCTCTTCACCCAGTCCAAGCCCTGACACTCCAAGCCAGGTCACCCCTCTGCAAGGACACCATCCTCATTCTGCTCAAGCCCTGCCTCTCACGACAGGTCACACCCCAGTCCCCCACGGCCACTGTCTTTCCTCCACATGGTGCCCTTCTCACCCAGGGCAGGCCCTGCTACCACTGCACTTTGATACTTGGCCTGCTCTGTTCCCCCCGAATGGCTTCAAGAATAAATACTTCTGGAGAGAAAGGAAATGAATGGGAAGAGAGAGGGAAAGAGAAAAGGGAAGAGAAGCAGATAAAGAGAAGATCTGTAAATATACATTTCAAACCACACATAGCTCACTGCATGTGTGTATCTTTTGGCCATGGTGGGAGAACAAGGGGCTCCAAACCTCACTAATGTGTGGTCTCTGCCTGTCTCTGCATTCACACACACACACACACACACACACACACACACATACACGTGCGCGCGCGCGCCTACACCTCTGACACGCAGATTCTAGAGAACAGTAAGAGAAAGGAGAGAAGAGTAGAGGATTTAGCGAGAGAGACTAAGGAGCTAGTTGGGGATGGGCATAAAATGAAGCAGATAATTTTGTGCTAGGTATCCAGGGGAGAGACTGGAACGGGGGTGGGGGGAGAGATGGATACTCAGTGTGAAAAAACAATGCTCTGGGATATGCCATAAATGTTTTTTAGGAAGAATGGAATCAACTTTTTAATTACTTTTGGCTATTGAGCTGGGCTAAGACCCAGAATCTATTTTATATCTGAGGGTCTGTGTCCTCCATTAGACTATAAAGACAGGAAGGATAGGAACTGCTGAGCCTAATGTTTTCTTTTTAATTCCTCGCACCTAGCAAGTGCCTGGCTTTATAGAAGGATCTGATACATGGGTCTGTTGTTTGTCAGACTGCACCTGCCGACCAGAACGCATCGGAGCCCAGCTGCCCAGCAGGTCTGAGAGGCAGGGTGAGGTGTCTGCACCATGACTTTCTGGTTAACTCCGGAGACATAAAGAGAAAATAAAAACATGAGAGATATGGTAAAAGTATAAGACCAGAGCACTCCTATAATTTGCTGGAAATTTTCTTTTCTTTTTTTTTTTTTTTACCAAGTCATTGTCTGTCATTCATTGGTTTCCCCAGAAGATGTAGCATTTCCTTCCCCACTGATTCTTATATTGTCTTGAGGCTCTGACTTCCAGAAATGTTTAATCAGGCATCACATATACTCTAGCGATACTTTCCAGATACCTCAGCTTTTCCTGACAACTTTCCCTTCATTTGCTCTTTGTCTTTTTGAGGAACTTCTACTTACCTAGGGTTTTTCTGAGTAACTCAAAGTATTGTCATTAAAAAAAATCATAACAGAACATATGACTACTCAGAAACCACTATTCATAAGACATCCACCTTGAGATATTTAAAATGTGGAGAGTTTCAACTCTCTGTCCGAAGGAATGTAGCCTGTAGGGAAGAAATATGAACTTGCCACTGATTCTGAAAAGCAAAGTCAACTAAATTGTAGCTTAAATTCGCCTTCAAAAGCGTACCGCGGAGGATTCTCAGTCTTCTTTTTTATACACTGAATCTTTAAGGAACTTTGGTGATTCCCTGATCAGAATCTAAGACACAATACTCCAATGGATCTAATTTTTCAAGTGGCTTCAATCCAGCAACCAAATCCTAGACTTGCCACTCGTGTTCAAAGCTAACCCTCGAATATTTTGGTCAGATAGGAGTGAAGAGAGAGTAGCAGAAGAAAGCAAGGATTTTCATCCCCACAGCAAGCTGTGTGGCCAAAGACAGAGTCTTCCCCAAGCTGCCCTTCATGCCTAGGAGACCTGCATTCTGCTAGGAGATGCTAGCCCATTACCTATACCTCACTCCTAGAAGAATATCCTATATTCTGAGTATTTGTTCTGCAAGGTTTCTGGAAAACTCTGGAGATGCCTCAAAAATCATTTGCATAGAATGTGCACTTAGGTTAAGTCTTACTTTGCAAGAAAGATCTAGATTTCAGGAGATCAGTTACTCAATTTGTTGAGAGTTCATTACAAATGGCTCCACAGCTTTGTCTTAGCAAATGTCCAAAAGACAATGGAGAGAAAACTGGAGTCAAAACAAGGTCTCATAATTCACAAGCAGTAGGTCCCTGGAGGGAGTCTAGTTCACCTCCAGCACTTTGGGTAACAGAGCAGATGGACAAACGTTCTTTATATAGGAAGTCCTGCTGGTTTTCCTGAGAGAAACTATGACAAAAAGCCAGAGGAACAGATAATTTGGCTTCTAAGACATAAGTTTAACCAGCTAAATGCAAAAATATGAGTTTACTCAGAGTCATAGCATCTTGAGAAGGTGAAAACCATTCCTCTCTAAATCCTCAACCATCTTCATCTCTGAGGAAAAAAAAAATGGAAAGATTGGCCTAACCCTGGAATTTCCTGATCTTAGTGGATTTACGACCAAAGATCCAACGGATGACCCAGGTCATTACTGCTGGCTGCACAGCAAATTCAATTATCCTAAATTCCAGCACACCACCCTTCTTCCTGTCCTTCACCCCTTCCTTATCATAATCTTTCCGGGGCCATCCACCCCCACTGGGTTGTCTGAGCCCAAGTTTCATCTCTCAGCAAGCTCCGAGCTAACCATCAGTGCCGAGGACATTTCATCAGAGGGACAAAGCCACGTTCTTGATGAAGAGCAGTGACATAAATTCCGGCCCAGCCAGGACCAATTCCCAGCTATCTCTAAGGATGGAGAAAACAGCATTAGGACATGAGAAGTTATTTCTCGGGATGATAGCTTGGAAGCCCTTAGTAACTGATTAAAGGACAAGTCTTTTGAATGGTTTTATCTACAGAGGTTTTAATGCCATTGTGCCCATCATCTGCCTATCCCCCACCCTGGCCATATATGGTTAAGGAGCATGCTTACCTTATACAGACAGATCTCACAGAAGGTAGATCTTTGCGTCATAAGGGACAGGCGCTCATTCAGAGTCCCTGAGGTACTGGGAACTCACTCTAAAACACCCATGGTGATGAGGGAGGTGAGTGTCTGCAAAAATGGACAGACAGCCTCAGGGAGCCTGGAACAAGGAAGCTACTAGAGCCCAAGGAAGTCAAGAGAAGATGCTTCTCAGTTCCCATGACCAAGATACCTTCTTCACATCCACTTTTGTGTCCTTCCACCACCACACACCTCCATCTCTCCATATGCCCCTTAAAATGATGGAGAGGGGTGCCTGGGTGGTGCAGTTGGTTGAGCAGTTTCACCTTGGGTGGTGATCCTGGGGTGGTGGGATGGAGCCCCTTGCGGGGCTCTGCGCTCAACACGGAGTCTGCTAAAGTTTCTCTCTGCCTCTCCCTTTGCCCCTACCCCACCCCTTCAAATAAATAAATAAATCTTTTAAAAAATTGTTTGAGAGAAGGTCTGCCGAGTTATTTACTTGCTAAGCTAATTATTGTCACCTCACTCAAAACACCTCAAGGATTACTTGAAGCTCATGGCTTAGCTGTCCTTGGGTCAGGGCCCCACGGTGGTGACCCAGAGAGTCACATGTTACAGAGCAGCCCTGGCTCTTCCCTGAGTGGGGCTGTGGGCATGGCAGGCACCCAGACTGGCTGGCCTAGGCCATCCCTCCTGCCAGAGTCAGGATGACACCAAGTGCGGAATGACCCAGCCCAGCGTCTCCTATGAAAGCAACCCCTGGCCTCAGCTTCCAGGACACATTTGGTTTCCATGCTCCACCTGGAATCTTAAATTATGTTATGAAAAGTCTAAAAATGCCATTTTACACCAGGATACTACATCACCACTGGACCTAAACTAAAATATGGCTTCTTGGGGAGGAAGGAAGTATCAGTGGGTGAAGTTGGTTATGGGTTTTCATCTAATCCTACAGCACCCCAGTGAAGTGGGTGTTACTGAGCTGATTTGTGGTTGAGGATTCCAAGGCTCTGAAATTACCTTAGTAGGTGGACTTGAACCCAGGCTTGCTGTTTCCACTGGAAATGTGATGGAACCCGCAGCACCTTCTGACTCTTGGCGTTGTCCACCGGCGTGCACTCATCTCCTCGGTACCTGCCACAGAGGAGACAAAGCAGCCCAGAGAGCCGTTTCCACCTCAGGGCTGAAACACAAAGCACTTTACAGTTTTCAAAGCAATCTCCATATACTCTCTTTTTTCTGGAATACACTTCACTCTTTGAGTATTTGGCCTTTATTGTCTGTCTCTCCCCACTGGAACCTAAGCAGCAGGAGGGCAGGGTTTTATCCATTCTGCTCCAGGCCGCATCTGGCCCTGGAGCCCTGGAACCGGGCAGCCCCAGGTAGGTGATGAGCACGCATTCCTGCATGAACGGCTGTCCTGGGAGATGGTCTTGGCTTGATGCTCACTTTGCGAGGAAGGTGCGGGAAGCCCTGCCGCTCCTCTGAGGCTGGCCAGGGTGAGGCGCCTCTGCCCAAACCCCGACTGGACAAGGAGATGCTCTTTTGGAAGGCAGGGGAAGCTGCTGTCAGAGTTTCTAGAAGCCTACCTCCGCAGCAACATTTGGCCCACCAAAGAAAGGTTTTCATTTGTTTGGAGAAACATTCCTGGAAGCTCTCCCCGCCCCCATCAGGGTCCCAGGGGAGAGGGCCACCTGGCAGCGCCCCGCCCGGGCGCTAGGGCCTGACCACCCAGGTCCGCGGGGCTCCCCGGGCCCCCCCCTCCCCCCCCAGCCGGGTCCCTCCTCCAGCCGGCTGAATCCAGCCCATTTAAAGTGCCCTTTGAAAAGGTCTCTGTTTGGGTGAGCGCCGTGGGCTCTGCCTAGAGAGCGGCAGATTATCTGAAAATAGGTGTTATTGATTACAACCAGGTGGTCTTTGTGGAAAGGCGTCCACTTGAACCAAAATAAATATTTGCCGCACAAAGAACAAGCCGGGCCCTGTTGCGGGGCGGGGGGCGTGCTGGGGGGGGCGTGCTGGGGGGGTGCTGGGGGGCGGGGAGGGTGCTGGGGGCGGGGGGGGTGCTCGCGGCCTCTCCTGGCCTCGCCCGGGCGCGGCGGGGCAGCCCCGGATTGTGTTTCTGCAATTAGGACAGAGACGCGCAGGGGGTGGCCCTGGGGGGGCCGGGGGGGGCCTGGGGGGAGCACAGAGACCCCGCCGCGTCCAGGGCCAGGCCCGGCTGCAGCCCCCCCCACCCCCGCTCGCCCCGCGATTGTATTTTCTTTGGCTTTCGGGCGCGCTCCTTATTATTTATTTCTTTTCTCTCTGCTTTATTTTTATTTTCAAGTTGCCGGCGGGGCTGGATGCCGGCCATTCACCCCGCTGCCTTGGAGCGCGGCGCGCAGACAGCCGGAGCCGGCTCGGGCTCAGCCCGGTCCTCGGCCGCCCGCCGGCACCCGGAGGCGCAGGGGGAGGGGGGCGGGGGGAGGGAGGAGGGGGGAGGGGGGAGGGGGAGGGGCGGTGCTGCGGGGGAGGGGGAGGGGGGGCGGACCTGGGGGGGCGCCTCCGGCAATGGGGTATTGTGGGGAGCAGGGGGGCACCGCAGGCGACAGGGTGCTGCGTGCAAGGGGGTGCTGCGGGGAGTAGGAGGGGCTCAGCAGGTGAGGGGGTGCTGTGGAGAGTGGGGGGCACTGTGGGCACGGGCTGTGGGGAACAGGGGGGCACCGCAGGCGACAGGGTGCTGCATGCAACGGGGTGCTGTGGGGAGCAGGGGGGGCGCCGCAGGAGACAGGGTTTGTAGGCCAGGGGTTGCTGCAGGCGAGGGAGTGCTGCGGGGAGCAGAGGGGGCACTGCGGGCAAGGGGTGCTGCGAGCAAGGGGGTGCTGTGGGGAGTGGGGGGGCACCGCAGGCAACAGGGTGCTGCGTGCGAGGGGGTGCTGTGGGGAGCAGGGGGGCACCGCAGGCGACAGGGTGCTGCTGGCGAGGGGGTGCTGTGGGGAGCAAGAGGGGCGCTGCAGGCAACAGGATGCTGTGGGCAAGGGGGTGCTGCGAAGATTGGGGGGAGCTGTGGGCAAGGGGGTGCTGCGGGGAGCAGGCGAGGCACATGCCAGGCTCCCCTGTCCAGAGCCAGGCCCACAGGACCTGGCCAGAGGCAAGTCGCTCTCTGGAGAAGATGACCTAATTAGGGGTGAGATTTGGGGTTAGTTCAGGAGTGGCCTGAAACTTTGACACCCCCTAGGTCCCTCTGTCCCATTCTATGTGCAGACTCTGCCCTGGCCTCCTGCCCCCAGGATCGGGGTCAGACAGCCTCTCAGGGGGCACCCGGGGGCTCTCACTCCCATCCCCAGGCTCTGAGCGGTCCCCTCTTGCCTTTCCAGGTCTGGAACCTGCTTCTCAGGAGCCAGGGGTGACTGGGGATGCCCAGGAGAGAAGGGAGGGCACCAGAGGCAGTTGCCCAATGCCAAGGGCGGAGGGATGGAGGCTGGAGGCTGAAAAAGATGAGGGGGCATGCGAAGCAGGAAGGGCCATCCCCAGGGAGATTCTGGAAGGCAGGTAGAAAAGCTGGGGCCAGGAAGAAAGAGAGATAAGAAGGAAATCAGAGAGAGAACATGCAGGAAACCATTCCTGTCAAGGTCAGATCCTAAGAGGGCTTAGGGCTGTGCTCACAGAGGCAGGTGAGTCCCCAGCTCCGAAGTCCTCCTCTTACAGACCTGGTGCTCCTCCTGGCTGAGCCAGAGGTTACCAACCCCTCCGCAACCCAGGATCCTCTTGCTTCGAGAAGACATTCCTGGTGGCTGCTACTGAGCCCGTGGTCTGTTCGCTGGCAGTGTCCCAAGGGTTGTAAAGTAGAATTTCGAGACACTTAAAAACATCCCTGCCTCTGTCTCTCTTTGGCAGCAATTCCCTCTCCTTCCCAGATCATAGCAAGAGCTGCCATTAAGTCCAACGTGGCACAAGCAACAGGCCGCAGGCCAGCCTCTGAGGGGCTAGGCTGACTTTCCAATCCCGGAGGGAACCCAGGACACGGAAGGGCATCAGTAGGCACCTCGCTACGCCCTGTGCTCTTTCCCCTGAGAGGTCACTTCTGAAGGCAAACTTTGCCTGCGCAGAGCCCCAGCATCACTAGTGAGGACCTGCGCGTCACAGGGACCTCCCATCCCACCGTCAGGTTGCCGTGACACCTGGGGAGCAGGAATGGCCTTGTCAAGGTAGAAACACACCAGTGGGCTCCATCAGGAGCAAAGCTGTCCCCCAGATTTCAAGAAAAAGGTGGCTTAGTAGTGGATGATTCGATTATCGCTTGTAGCCACACCGAATACCAAATAGGAGGTATTTTGGCCACGTAGCCTATGACCACATCGGGTGGCAACCAGAAGCAGAGCTTTTATGAGAGCGGAAAATCATCTTTAAGGATCTATACTTCCTCGACTCCACCGCTCATCAGAAAGCCAGTTCCGGCCTACAGGCCTTTGCCATCCCCTCAGGCACCTGAAGGTTCTAATTCCAGAGTCTGCCGTGGGGGGCCCAGGGCGACCGCGCTTCCAACGAATGCCCTCGGGTGACTCCGGGCACAGCTCGGCCTGGCACACATGCTCCGCCGTGCGCTGGTACATGCGTAACGAGCGGCTCTCTTAACAGGGTTGGCGGTAGGGTCCTGATTTGTAGACTTTGCTGATTTCCAGGGTGTAAATTCTTGCACTATAGCCAATTTCAAGCTACCACGTGAAGACTCTGAACTCGGAGCCGGAAAGAGATGCTCCCAATTGGCTCTTGTAACTTGGACCCTCCCGAGAGACGTACGACATTGAAGTGGCAGGTCCTCGGTCGCAGGGCCAGGACAGGAACCTAGATTCAGCCTCTGCCCACTGCCTCGCACCACGGCTCCCTGTCCTCTTAGCAGACACCAGCCCACGGGCGAGCCCCCCGCACCAGTGGCTTGGACCACAGCCAGAACGCAAGCAGGAAACAGAAAAGAAATAAACGCTTGTAGCCTGTCTTTCCTTCCTCTCCCCTTTGCGATCGAGTCCTTAAGAATGTGGTACGGCTGGAGGAAAGACCTGAGTGCCCGGCTCCTGGGGTTTGTGTTCTTTGAGGGGAAAGTGAAAGAGGCGAAGGAACGATTCTGGGAAATGTGGGCAGAGTCTTGGCAAATTTCAGAGGCCAAATAGGAGGTATTTTCGCCAGCTGGCCCTGGACGATTCTATGCAGGGCCTCAGAGACACTGTGGCGGTATCGGGATGGGGAGGATTGCAGAGTGGTCAGGCTGGGACATAAGGAGACCAAGAGCAGGGCATGGTTCGTCTTTCCATGGTTCATTCAGAGCCAGCATCAGAAAACCCCAGAAATCCGGTTTACGGGAAAACTGCATCAAAAAAACAAAAGAAGCATCTGATAAGATCCTCCAGAATTCTGGATGTTTAGAGACATCCTCTCGTGCGGAGTCAGGTTTCTAACTATTCAGGCCTCTGCTGGCTCTTGCTTACTCAGAGCTCCAGTTCATAGAGTCGTGGAATTGAAGAGTTCATTCTAGAAATAGGATAAGCTTGAGGCCCAGAGAGGTAAGAAAATTTGCCCACGATGGCATTGCTATTGGATCAGCAGCAGTTAGAATTCAAATGTCCTAGGTCTAGGCGAGCCCTGGACCTTTATCGAGACCCCTAGATACTATAATGCATTTGCTCTGAGTTCTCTTCTGCTTAAAATTATTGTTTAAAAAAATGCATGGTTATAAAAGAAACGCCGCCACCCAAAGATGATCAGATAATGACCGGGAATCACTTCCACTTGCTTCCACCTAAACCAGTGGTTCTCAGCCTCACTGTATAATTAGCGGCTCCAGGAAAGCGGGTAAAAATCCCTATTAAGCGTGAAAAATCCTAATGGCCAGGTTGTCTCCCTACAGAATTAAATCCGAAAGTGGAGGTGGGGGGCGGCAAGCTTTAGTATTCTTTGAGGCTCCCCAGATGGTGCCAGTGTGTGCCCCAAGTCGAGGACCACCAGCCTGGAATATTCTCCTCTCGTGTCTTTGCATAGCTGGCTCCTCCCCGCGGGTCAGAGCAGCTCCGGGGTGCAGTCTTCATTGTCGTCTCCAGGACTGTGGGCCCTCACAGCACATTTGGTGACTGAGTGGATGAATGAGTGGATTTGTGGTTACTTCTGAGTCTTCAAGTGCATACACACATACGTATAAATATGTGTATATACATATACGTGTGCAACAAAATTGTACGTTTTTAAAAATACCTGCGACTTAAATTTTATTTTTCTTTATTATGTTTATTTTATTTTATAAATTTATTTTTTATTGGTGTTCAGCTTGCCAACATGTAGCGACTTAAATTTTAAAACATTAAAGTGTTTATCATTTTCAGTTCCCACTTCTTTTACTTGGCATTTGGGGAGCATTGTCTAAAACCATCACAGTGTTTCATAGATGTGATTAGTAATGCACTGTGCTCTCACACCCTGGACTCCGGATGTAACCCAAGAGCACCCCCCCCCATCCTTGCCCTCTACCTCCCATCATCTGGCTAACTCTTCCCGATGCCTCGGGGTTCACCTTCTCATCTGTTCCTTACAGGCTCTCCTTCTGCCTCAGATGAGGCTGGGGCCCCTCGTGCCCCGACTCGCCTTCGACACCTGCATTTCCTGCTGCTGCCTCTAGGACACGAGCTCCGTGATGCTCCCGGTGTATCCTGGTTTCCAGCGCACGCCCAGGACCTCGCCAAGTGCCCAGCATGTGCTGGGAGTAGCACGCTATCACACTCCAGCGTGGTCCACACTGCTTTTAACCCATTTCCCGATGGTGGCACACTTGGGTTTTTCGTCACTCCCAATAATCCAGAGACACATAACCTTGTGTACGTCTTCCTATGATTTAAGCCGCTAGATGCCTACAGTAAAAATAATCCCGTAAAAGAGAATCTTGCTTTATCATGGACACTGTTTTCTCATAGGTTTTCCCCATTGATCTTCTGTACAACTTTGTTATTATCTTCATCTTAAGAGGAGAAAGCTAAGACTCAGAGGTTCCGTCGCTTGCCAAAGTCACAAGGAGGGCCACTGGAAGAGTCGGGATTGTAACCAGGCCTCCAGGGGACAGGAGTTGGCCTGTTATTGGGGAAAGCCCATGACCCGCACTTGTGCGCATGGGTCTTTTCTGTCTTCCAGGGTTGTAGTGAGGATGGAGTGGGCAAATATGGGGCATCTGGGGGGTCAGCTGGTTAAGCATTCGACTCTTGATTTCAGCTCAGGTCATGATCTCAGGGTTGTGAGATCAAGCCCTGCGCTCAGCATGGACTCTGCTTCTCTCTTTCTCTCTCTCAAATAAATAAATAAGCAAATAAATATAAATGTGTAACACACAGGTGTGTACCAGCTTTGCCCTCAACACCCCCATATGGACCTTGGGCAAGCCTCAGTCTTCTCATCTGTAAGGTGGGAAATAATAATATGAATTCAGCTTCACTGTAGAGAAAATGTGCAGCATCTCAGCTCTAGTGGACTCTTAATAAATGACAGCTTTGGGACGCCTGGGTGGCTCAGTGGTTGAGCATTTGCCTTTGGCCCAGGGCCTGATCCTGGAGACCTAGGATCGAGTCCCACATCAGGCTCCCAGCATGGAGCCTCCTTCTCCCTCTTCCTGTGTCTCTGCCTCTCTGTCATGAATAAATAAATAAAGTCAAATAAATAAATAAATAAATAAATAAATAAATAAATAAATAACAGCTTTCTCTAGTGCCACCCTAATCTCTCTCGTGTCATAAACTTTTATGTCACATTTTCATTTTGCAAACGAAAACGTTTTCACTGACATTTTGTCAGCCCAGCGTGATTGGGTGACCCAGGAATTTAGTATCTCAGCGAAATACCCTAAACATAAGGCCTATTAAAGAGCTCCCCTAGCCTGCCAAAGCCTCTCTCCGCCCTGAGCTGCGGAGGCCTTTCCACCAGGCGCTGTCACTTTGCCATCTGGAGGTGTATGGTGCCATCTCCTGGCCAGGGGCGCACGGCGCTACCCTAGGACAGACCGCTGCTGTAGGGTCCCTTCCCTTCAGACCTCCTCTCTGGTCGGTTCAGTAATATCCCCTGTTTCTCCTCTCCTAGCCACGTGCTGCTGCTTTCCCAGGGCCATTAAGACACGGTGAACAAGTCATCTCCTTCTGGAGCTTTTGGTTTCTCCCCCTGCAAAATAACAGGGTAGGATCAGGAAACGAATCGCGGGTCCCCCTCACTGCCAAGCCTCTAGGATTCGGTGCCTGTGCAGGGGACGCAGAGGGGAGGGATGGGAGGAAGGCGAGCTACCTCTCCTCGATTAAGTTCAAGGCTGGGAACAGAAAGCAAAGGCTGGAATGGAAGGAGCGAGGGATAATGAGGCTCAGGCAAAGGGTAAAAGGCACGTGGGTGCGGGAGGGAGGTGGGGGGTACAAGCCACTCCCTCCTCCTTGCGCATCATCAGCAAAGCCATCACTTACCAGCAGGCCGCTACCGTCCAGCGGGAGCCTACAGTGGGCGCTGTGCTCAGCGCTTCCCCTACTATCACATCACATAGCATTTCACACTATTGTCCTTCCAGTGACTCTTTAACGTAGATCATAATTCCCATTATTTACAACTGGGGGAAAAAACAGGTTCAGAAAGGTTAAGAACTAGTTTTGGATACGATGGTGGGTAAATGGGACAGCTGAGCTCGGCCAGGTCTGTGAGCCTTCAAAGCCACCCAACTTCACGCTGCACTTCCTGCCTTCAAACTCTCTTTTGTTCTTACCTACATTTATTTTTCTTTCATGCTTTCATCAGGGCATGTCCTTAAGAGGTGGTCACAGATGCAGGAATGGACAGAGCCGTCAAGAAAATTATGGTCCCTGCCACCGAAGCCAGCGTTGCTCAGGGTCCCAAGGGCCTGCTAATTAGTGAATCGCCTACTTTTTGCTTCATTGGGATTTCTGAAGTCCCTTCTGTGACCATGGAGACAGGGCTCTCCCTGTCTTCCTCCGCTCTTTGGATACCAAGTGCAAAGGCGCAGGTGCCCTCTGCGTCCCCCAAGGACACAATCCAAGTGTGTGGTGCCTTCTCCAAGGCCCAGACTCAGACTCCCTAGCCCTCTGGTCCTGACAAGCAATCCCCTGATCTCCGTTGCGACCTTCCTGGGGAGCTTTCTTTTAGGAACAGTGATGCCTGGGCCTGAGGGTCGGGGGTGGCCCAGGGAAGAGCACTGAACTAACTAGAAAACAGAACCCCTGGGCTCTACCTCTTGCTTTCCCATCTGTACCTCAGTGACCCCAACAAGTCATAGATAGGGTCTCTCAGCATGTTTCCCCTGCTCTCCTGAAAAATGAGAATGGTGGCACCTCCCCCCCCACCTTAAAAGCTAATTTCCACCTCCAATTTTTTTCTCTCCAATCCATCCTACACTGATACCAAAGCTACATTTCTAAAATATTCATTTCTTCATGTGTTTGCACACCCAGAGACTCCTGTGGTTGACTGATGGAGTCAAGATTCAAACTCAGGGCTGACACCAAACCTCTGACTCCTGACCATGAATTGCTACTTGCCTCCACGCTGCACGCCAGTACTGCCACCGTGTAAACCAGCCTGTCACCTCCCAGAAGCCCCATGCAAATGTACATCCTGTTCTCCTGTTAGCCTGGGGCTAACCTGCCCACCCGCTCACCCACCTCTCTACACCTCCCCTCCGCCTGTGTCAAATCTCCTCCAAGCATTAAGCCCACTCGGGTGCCATCCTGAAGAAGCCTTCCCCTACCTCTGCCTCCCTCAGGACTTTTTTCATACTTCATTTGAGCACTGTATTTATTTAATTCATTTAATTGTTTTAATTTTAATACTCATGCATGAAATTTTGCATACAAGGGTGGGTTCCATGACCCCCATCCCAACCTCCAAAGAGTCCCTGAACCCTAATCAAAAGTGATTACCCAGAATGCCCTGAGAACTGAATCCCCTCCCCCTCACACCTCTCCCCCCCAGCAAAGACCCCAGACCATGTACAAGAATGAGGATGTTTTCCTTGAGGGCACCTGTTCTGACTTTCGAACCAGCCAAAATTCCAGGGGGTTTTGATCCCCAGAGAACTGTTAGTCCCAGCCAGTTTGTCCCCTGCTGAGAACCCTGCTTCTGGGGGCCCAAGCTCATAGGCAGAGTAAGCCCTGCAGGCCCTCTGCAAAGCGAGGCAAGTCTTTTAGGAATGCAAAACAGGCACATCCACAATCTCTCAGGCCCAGGACTGCAGGGCTAGGGGCCTCTGGAGCAGGATTCCAACAATTCTGCAAAAGCCAGAGAAGGAAAGTGAAGAAGAGGATCCCACCAATGTTGGTATCGTCAGCAGTTATCCTAACACAGTAACCTGAAGGATATACTGTTAAGTGAACAAAATTAGAATGCTACCCTTTGTGTAAGACTGGAGAGATATAAATATGTATGTTTTCCTTATTTTTTCAAAGTGAAACGGTAGCGTGATGAAACTAATAAGAACAGTTACCTTTCTGTAAGAGGAAGGGAATAGGGAGGGCACAGAAATAGCAATGAATTTTCTATACTCCATCCTATGATTTTTGAAACCATATGAATTCTTTGCATGATTAATCAGTTAAATCAAAAAGGGAAACAATAAACCAGCTCTAATAATTGGAAATAAAAACGTGGAACAAAAGAATCTAACTCTATGCCAAGTATGTAGTCACAGAGGGAAGAACTACTCCAAGTAATTTTATTTATTTTATTTTTTTTTAAAGATTTTCTTTATTTATTCATGAGAGAGACATGCACAGAGAGAGAGAGAGAGAGGCAGAGACACAGGCAGAGGGAGAAGCAGGCTCCGTGCAGGAAGCCCAATGCGGGACTCGATCCTGGGTCTCCAGGATCACACTCTGGGCCAAAGGCAGGTGCCAAACTGCTGAGCCACCCGGGCTGCCCTCCAAGTAACTCTAAAACCATTTGTTGGGGTGCTTGGGTGGCTCAGTTGGTTAAAGGTCTGCTTTAGGCTCAGGTCATGATCCTGGGGTCCCGGGATCTACAGGGAGCCTGCTTCTCCCTCTCCCTCTGCCTGCCACTCTGTCTACTTGGGTTCTCTCTCTCTGCCAAATAAATAAATAAAATATTAAAACACACACACACACAGGGCAGCCTGGGTGGCTCAGCAGTTTAGCCCCGCCTTCAGCCCGGGGCCTGATCCTGGAGACCCAGGATCGAGTCCCACATCAGGCTCCCGGCATGGAGCCTGCTTCTCCCTCTGCCTGTGTCTCTGCCTCTCTCTCTGTGTTTCTCATGGATAAATAAATAAAATAAAATAAAAAAAAACACAGTCTTTGACTGCATATCAGTGGCAGGACATATTATAAAGAATTTTTTAATACCAATTAATTTTAAAACTAAAGTCAATAGTCTCATTGCCAACAGTCATGTCAATATCATATATGGAAACTACTATAAGCACGTGGCATCAGGCGAGAAAATCACTTTCCTCGCAATCAGCAGTCTTCCAACTCAGCTCTGGTGCATCAGAGTTGGTTTGAGGCCGTCAGGATCCTTTACAGCACCCGGAGAAACCATCCTTCCTTCCTCATTCCTGCATCCCCAGGCCCTGGCTCACAGTAGGCCACCAGTGAGCATCTGTTGGGTTGAAGTCCCAGGCACCAGGATCCTACTCAAATTCCCCAACTCAGAGCCTATCCAATATCCAGGAGGCCTTGGGCCTATTGCTTTTATCTGGTGGCTTCCCCTGGCCCCTGTCACAGCCCCCCTCCCCTCTGCTTTCTGTGTCCAGGAAGCCCCAGCCGTGGTCTACCCTGTGGACCAGTGTTCTCCCCTTCAGCTCCTCGGCTCCGAATCCATGCTCCCATCCTGTTTTGCCACGTCACTAGTCACTTGCTTTTTATAAAGGGACGCTTATGTCTATTACTTCATTTAATTCTCTCCTTCACCCTATTTCAAAACTCAGTTTTACACATCATAAAAATTTCATCATACGTGAAATTTAGCCATCTGTCAAGGCCCCTCCGCTCGTGAACGAGGTAACTTGTCAAACATCATTTGGATGGCTGTCGCTGCAAATCCACCACTAACCATATTGACTTGAGCAAATCCTTCATTCATTCATTCGCTGATTCAAAAACCACTTATTGGCCATGTGAGGCACCGTGTCGGTGCCAGAAACACAGAGGTAAGTGGAAAATGTAGACAGTGTTCTCCAGGGATAACGGAGGCTCCATGTCCCCATCTGTCAAAATGGGAGTCACACCTGTCTCTACCTCCGATGAAAGACTACTGAGAGATCAAAATAAAACAACACATATACACGTATATTTAGCATATATGTAGATATAGGAAGGTAGGTTGCACCAACAGCAACCTGGATACGCATGATATTTCCAGATGCTGACCTAGCAGATTGCCCAGAGGCCCTGGCTAAACGCTACCTCTTCCTAGGACATGATAAGTCCAGAGAGGTTTATGAAGCACTAGCCAAGGGCTAAGTAATGAGGGGTTTCTGCAAAGCATAAGGCAGGACCAGGGACATGTGCCGACTATCCTTGGGTTCAAGGTAAATGTCTGATGGACCTGGTGAGTCCTCTCAGATGGGGGGCCTATGGCAGGATGCTGACTTGATCAGTTTTCCACACGTGGTCTTTTGAGACAGATCAGAGTTTGAATCCCAGCCCTGCTATTACCTAGCAGGTAATTCTGGACAAGCTCCTTACCTGAGCTGCCTCAAGTGAAAAATAAATGTAAAAGTAGTACTTCATAGAATCATTGGGGAAATTAAAGAAAGTGATGTATATGAGCTCTTAGAACAAAACCTACAACATGGGAGGAACTCAATAAGTAGTCCCTGGCGTTAAATTTCTCCTGCCATAGCCCAGGTCTCCGGGTGTCTCACCAGCCTGACAGATGCCACTGTCTTGTACAACACCCCGGGCAGTCAAGGATGTATGGGCTGAAGATGCAGGAGTGACCCTCTCCAGTCCCTGGGCCCTCCAGCCCCGGTGCAGAGCTCCCTGTCTGCAGGGCTCGGCTCCAAGGAGTCCAGCTGGGTGCATCTGGCTGGGGAGATTAAATTATTTTTGAATTCCTAACTGAATGTTCTTTTAATGGAAACTCAATGACAGGCATTGAAATAGATTTCCTCCATAAGCCCTCCTCCCGCGGCGCCCCCCCACACGGCTCTGTGTTGCGCTGTTCCCGATAACCTTTATTCCCTACCCCTGGACTTTTATCTCCCCAGTGACAAACAGCCCTTGCTGGACAGAAAGAGGAAATTCCAGTCATTGTTCTCAAACTTCTGGCTTCCAAAATAAAATGCTCTATCTCCCCTGTCAAGCTTTGATTGACATGCACTTCCTGGAATGGCAGACAACAACGGCCCAGGGGCGGGGTCAGGGGCTCATTTGCATCGTTTGCATCAGAGGTTTTCTAGATGGGGAAGGATCCCCCATGCTCCTCACCCAACCATCCTGTTGAGAAGCAGTGTTCCCTTTTGTGAAAATGGGACACTTCAAGGAAGGCGCCACCTCAACTGTCCACACAGTCCAGGAGAGTTCTTCACTGTCCTAGGGGCTGCCCATTAGCCATGGAAACAGTCTACTCATCTCACTTCTTAGATTGGACAGCTTCGAGATCTTTTCCTTCTTCCCCTTCTCGCCTGTGGAGTAAATGTTTAGACCACCTCCCAAATCTCAAGTCTGAATATTGGCACTTGAGTCGACCTAAGTCCTGGAGGATAAAGGTTGAGAGCCTCCAAATCAAAACCCCCACAGCAACAGAGCTAAATTAGGCACTTTAAGGGGAGGGGGGTCACTGCCAAGCAAAACTCTGAATATGGTACAGCATCATGGGATGCAGTTTTTCTTGGAAGGAATAAGAAATACTGAATTGCTTTCGGAATGGATAGATAATTCAGCAAATACAACACTATGGCACACCTGTGGCAAATACAATACTAAAGTGGTCAGGTCCTGTTGTGAACAATGTTACTTCATTGGAATAAAAACCCTGCCTTTAGCATTAGCATCAACTTTGAGGCAAGTTAGCCTTCTGGAGCCTTCTATGTCCCATTTATTTTCTTTACTCACTGAGCTCCTATGCCTTTGGTCATCCTCTTTTTATAAACATCCAGGTTTTTTCTATGCTGCTTTTGGGTTCCAGCCACCCCTTAGGATTATTAAAAGGTACCTGTGGACCCTCATTTCCTCAGGGCTTTATTGGATGTAAGTATATTAATGGTTGCTAGATGTTCAATGGGAATTACATTAAGAAAGAGACTCCAGGTAGCATAGTGCCTTAATCCCAACAAAGGAATATTTGAAGGTACAGATTTCCACCGAGTAACCCAGAAAGGGAAGCCAATAACAAAGATTCTGGTCGATCAGCAATCTTAACAATCAAAAGGAGCAGATTTCATAAGATCCTTTCACTTCCAGCAATCCCAGAGCATGCTGTTAACGAGCAGAACAGACCAAAAGGAATGTGTCCTGACTCCCCAGTTTATGAAGGGACTACAGAGTCATAAAACCTCATGACAGTGGGTCAGTAGAGAATTCTGGCTTCCTAGAGCTTGTCATACCTCATTTCCTCTAGCTTTGTCAATAGATCAAATTGCGGTGCAGGGACACTTAGAGGCACAGAGTCATCTCCTGTGTAGGCCAGTCATGTCCAATGTTATGGCCACTGACAAAGTGCACAACTCTTAGCCCATCAGACTCCTTACTAGGTGTAGTCAGAAGGACCCAACCATGTGGATGAATCTGAACAAACTTGTCCCCAGGCCTGGGAACACAGAACTTTCCTTAGTGAAAACTACTGCAGCTGCCATCTTATGTGCCAAGACACCCTGGAGTGATTTGATGGACTGACAAGGGCTAAGGCATGTCTGTAACAACAAGGTCAGTTCCCCCAGGGTTAGCTGGTGTTGAGACACCATATGGTCACATTTGCCATCTTCCTACCCCTTCTACGTCACCCCGGAGAAAGTCTATCCTCAGCAAGGGAGTTGTCACCTGATGGTCTCTTAAAATTAATGCGGAATAACTGTACTTTTGGAAAGCTCATGCACAGCTTCAGATATTTAATATATTAATCAACACACTGACAACATTTTGATTCCTAAGCAGCTCTGAGTCCCATTCCTTCCAGAATAGATTCAAAATAATGTAGGTGAAGAACTGAAAAGAGACATTCACAGTAAAACCCTTCTCTAAAGATCAGTCCTTCCCTTTTGAGGAAGATGTGGTGTTGGGCCTCAGAGAAAGGCACACCTTGCATTTTCCTTTCTGTGGGGCCACAGACCATCCCTTTCCTTCCCACACTGCTCCTTTAGAAACAGCATTTCGGTTATAAACTCAAGGCAGAAAAACACAAGATACTTTCTTTTTCAGAAGCACTGGCAGTACTGGCCCTGCTAAACTGACATTACACCTTTAACTCTTGGCTGCCTTCCTGGAAGATCGGGACATATTCTTTTAACTAATTTGTAGCCCCTTATCCCGCCTAACACAAATTGGAAGAAATATCACCACCATTTTCAAATCAAGCATTCTTTCTTCAGGAAGTGTTCATTGAGATGTTAGAGTGGTGATTTAGCCCCTGTCTAAATGTAACCACGTGAGATTAATTGGGCCAAAACCCAACTCTGAGCTCTAGGGTCTGGATGTGCCATAAAGCAGGTTGAGCTCACTGCTCCTCTCCATGTCACATATGTAGAGATGCAGAGTCCATGGCCTGAGCCTTCCCTTGCTATTCAGGAGACACAGCATGACCTAGACTAAGATAAAGCTCCAACAACCAGAACTGGAGAAGCTCCGAGCCTCACAAATGTTCTTGGAGTACCAGTCTTTTCTTATCATCTCTAATTAGTTCATCTCCTCCAACCAAATGGCCTCCAAGGGAGTCCATTTTTCCCTTGATAAAAGCCAGTGTTACAACAAAAGTGCCTTATTTATCATCAGTATAATCAAAATGGGAACATGGTTTTTCCCTGACCCTATCTGAAGCTCATAACTTCTTCAAGGAGACTTGTAGGATCTCATTTGGCCTGTTGTAAAATTTTGATGATTTTGTCTGTTTCTATCAACACTGCATGATTTCAAATAATCATATTCAAGATTCCAAGTTAACTCCTATGGCTTCCATACTGCCATTTCCTATGAGAATATCGCATGTTCCGATGCAGTTGCCTTGTAGAGCTATATGTCTTGTAAGATGGTGGCTGTTGGGTTCAGGGGCATGGTCCTGATAGACATTGAAGGCTCTTGTCCTAATTTCATACCCTCAAACTGTCGATTGCTTCCTAATACTTCTAGTCACTAGGTATCTTCACGACTTTGCTTTACTCCCGTTGAAAAGCCACTGTCACATTTTGGTGTCATCTGTTTCATTGACTTCTGACAAGATGAAGTTGGGATTGTCATAGCCTCTCTTCAGCCTGGCTCTGGCATCTTTTTCATTATAAAGGCACAAGGCACAATGAGGGGTCTCCACCTCCACAGTCTTGCTAAAGTTATGGAAATCCACTCGGTATTTCCCTTCCTTAGTCTTGGATACTATGGGAGCAAAACGGTAGCCCCAGAGCACCTCTTCCGGGACATAGGATGTCCGGACTTGGCAGGTAGCACTAGTTGATTCCACTGTGCCATCTAGAAACACCACTAATTCAAAGTCTTGCTGGAGAAGGGTCTCTGCTGCCATGTGGAAGAAGGGGCTGTTTTGATCAATGACATGGTAAATCGTCAATGGGGAGATGAAGAATAAGTTTTCATTCCCTGCATCAACTACAAAGTTGATATTTGTCTGGTCCAGAATAATGGTCTCTCCTTCAGGAGTGACTGTGGTCTTCAGGAGCTTTCCATATATGTGACTCCCAATAAGGAGGCTCTTCCTAAGATTAGCCACTCGGATTAGGAGACAAAGCTTCCCGCCCCGCTTGCTGATCACTGCGTTCTTGCTGAATGTGATGGTCTTGGCACGTTTTTTGGGTCTGGAGATCTTGGCTAAAATGGCGCCGCACATGAAAGAATTGATGATGACCCCAATTATAGACTGGGAGATCAGGAGGAAAATGGCAGTGCCACATTGTTCTGTCACACACCTGAATCCGTACCCAATGGTCACCTGGGTTTCCAGAGAAAACAGAAAAGCTGAGGTCAGGCCATTAATGTTCTCCACACAAGGGGTGTGGTTGACAGAAGGATGGAACTCGGGGAGATCTTTGTGAATGTATGCCACAGCGTACCACAGGAGACCAAAGAGGAACCAGCTCCCCAAGAAGGTTGTAATGAAGATGGTCATTTTGTATCTCCATTTGAGGTCAAGCACAGTTGTCCAGATGTCCACAAAGAATATAAACCTTGATTGTGCCTCCACATTGCCAAACTCTATGTTGCACCTTCCGTCTTTGGAGACCAGCCTTGCTCTTTGCCGAGAATGCCCAAAAAAGTGAGCAATGAACCATTTCCGAAGGTGTTTGAACATTCTTTCTGTCAACGCTCTGATCTGAAACACATCAAAAACAAAACAAAGTTTTGTTTATACCCACAGCGGACGAGGTGACTCACGTAGAGCTAACTGTATCTGAAAGACCATTCAAAACAATCTGAATTGCTGGTCATTCAGGAAAGCTGACAGTGTATTCTGGATACCACAACACTATTTTCAATAGAAACTTTCCACCAGACGACCATATTGCTTAAACATAAAGAGGAAAAATAATTACAGAGAGATAGAGATGGAACAAGCTTAAGAGGGCATGTATTCAAATGTTTCCTGACCATAGTCAGTGGCACAGACACTTAAAAATGTTTGTGATAACCAATTATGACCTGTGCTATGATTCATTTGATATTGTTCTTTAACTCTCCTTTTCCTTTAATAAATTTAGCTTGCGCTAAGCAAAAATAACTGTGAAACAGAAGCTGGAAGTACTATTTATGTTTTTCATGATATATAAAAATAAATAGCTATAAAAAAGGTTCACCAATATACTACCTAAAGCTTCCTCTTTACTGCTATTATCACTCAATAACAAAAGAAATCTTGGCTCTGGAGCACCTGGGTGGCTCAGTGGTTGAGCATCTGCCTTTGGTTCAGGTCGTGATCCTGGGGTCCTGGGATCGAGTCCCGCATCAGGCTCACCACAAGAAGCCTGCTTCTCCCTCTGCCTATGTCTCTGCCTCTCTCTGTGTGTCTCTCATAAATAAATAAATAAATAAATAAATAAATAAATAAATAAATAAATAAAATCTTTTTAAAAAATCTTGGCCTAATTCAATTTTCTCATTTATCCAATGAAGGGACTGAGATTCAGAAAGTTTTAATGACATAGTCAAAGTCACGTACCAACTAGAGGCAGGATGACAACTAAAAACATAAAACATAACGTTCCCTGCTTCCAGTCCAGAGGAACTTCTAACATGCTCCATCTCAGCTATTAAATTTTATATTCTCAAGTCAGATTTGCCTGAAACATTTTAAGACAAGTATTGGTCAACTTCCTTTTTTTTTTTTTTTTAAATGCTCGAGACTATTTAGAACAGAGTTCCTCAATACAATTTGGTCAAGTCCTACCATATGACAGAAGTTTGCTCGGTGGAGCTACAAGCCTATTTCCTTTCTCTCTCCATAGTATGCCAAGATTCCTGAGAGGAATAGTATGGTGGTCACCACTAATAGCTCATACTTCCTTCCCTGCTTCTAAGCTGAAGGACTGGGAAGCTCTGATTTAAATAATACTGCGTAAAGGTAGAACCACGCTTTATTCACTCCTCTATCCCAGCTGCTAGCACAGTCTATGGGCACTTTTACTAGTTATTCAATGAACATAAGATGGAATAATTCAGTGAACGAAGTGAGCTCTTCAAGATACTATCTAATCAGTGGTTTCTTGTTGATGATATTATTGTGACTTCCAGTTTACATCAAAAAAAGTGAAGGGATTTTCCCCTAAACAGCCAACAACGATGAAACTCACTGTCATCAACACTAGACTACCTCCTCCCTGAGACGTGCCCTCCCCCACTCCAAGGTGTGCCCACCATGGTGAGCAATGTCTTCGTGGTATTTTTAATTAAATGCAAATATGTTTCTAAAATAGATTTCAAAATCCCCCTTCAAAAAGGTGTTTATTCATACAAACCAGGAAGCGAAACCAACTTAGTGATAAATTTTAAACAAAAGTCCTATCCCGCAGTGTTTTGTTCACAGCCTTCAACCAGGTGAAAACACAAGAAGCCAACACCAGGTAGAAGTGATGAAGGGAAAAACCACAGGTATGGTGATTTTAAATGTTGAGGACGAGTGCTAAAGATACAAGGAAAGAAAATGCTACCAGGAGAGCAAACAGCAGTGCACACACTCAGAGGGCCCTGCCCACAGCCCACCCAACCCTCATTGACCTCAAGTCCCCAAAGAGTCTTAGGGGTTGGTCCCAGGTGAGGGCCACTGAAGAAGAATCTGCCCCCCAGTCTCCTCCAACCCCTGGCTCTCTCCCTTCTCTGCACACACATAGCTTCTCCTGCTTCACATTCACTGGAGGCTTCCTCCCTTTCTTGGGCTCATCAAAGCTCACATTGCTTTCTTTCTTTTTTTTTTTTAATTTAAATTCAATTTGCCAACATATAGTATAACACCCAGTGCTCATCCCATCACATGCCCTCCTTAGTGCCTGCCACCCAGTTAGCTCACAATGTTTTAAAAGCTCTTCATAGAGTGGTTGTCACCTAAGATAATAAGTTCTCAAGCCAACATTTATCAGGCGAATCCGCATTCTCTTCGTCACCCATTATATTTCCAGTGATGGCTCCTGAAACACAACTTCTGAGTTTTTCTTCCTCATGCCTTTTCTCTTCTAGTCTCTCTTAAGTTCGTTTCATTTTTGAAGATAAAGAATATTTCTATAGGGTGAAGAAGTAGCCTCTGATTTATCTCTTGGATAAATTTGGGTCTCCATGCCTGCATTACTAGTCAAATATCCACCTGGCCTTGCAAAGAGCTAAAACAAAATCAATGAGCTTATAATGCTTTCCCCAGACCTTCTGCACTTACCAACATCCTAAGCATATTCCGACCCGATGTATCCATGCCTGGGGAATGCAAGGAAGTGGCCTTGGGAATTGGTCTCTGTCTGCAGGCTGATTTCTTTTAGACTCGGCCCTAATTTATTTTAGGCTTTGGTCAGTGGACTGATGCTAATTTATATTAACTTAAAAATGCTTAATTTGATAGTGGAGTTGGGTGGTTTAAACCAAGGCAATTGGTTGTTCTCAGACCAAGCCCCAAGTCAAGTATGTATTTTTTTTTCAAACCTCACATGGCTTGAATACCGTCATGCTAAGACATGGCAACCCCCCCAGCTAAGGTCTCTGGGCACCAGGCATGGATTGAGTTCCAGCATTTTCCTCCTCTCCTTTGCCACGCTCTATATAGCTCTCTTGCTGTTTCTCATAGGTCATGCCTATTAGCTTTGCAGCAGAAAGAATCAGTTATCATCGATCTCTGAGCTTGTTCTCTGAAACCTGCTGAGATCCTGAGATTTCCAAGTGTTCACAAAGATGCAGGTGAATATATAGACTTAGATCACTACATATTTGTAAGATGAAAGCAAGATCACACCAGGAAAAAACGAGATACCAGACCACTCTCTCTGTACAATAGTCTCTGTTATGTAAGAAACTCAGATCTAAAAGCAATCTTTATTGTTGGATTTATTCTATAAAATCTGGCATTTACTGGACGTGCTTTTCACATGCACCGGGTTAGCCAATGCTGTTGACTTGTTTATTCAAAGAGTGAGAAGAATTATACCTAGAGAACATAAGAATGTGGGATACATCCATCCCTTGCCCAAATCCATCATTCACCTGGCAGACCCATTATAATCTGCACAGAGCCTACTTTGCTTAGACAATGACATCTAATCTAACCACAGACAGAGCCAATGTGTATTTTTTGTACTATGGGGCAGTCAGAGTTTGGCCATGGTATCTGGGTTGTGTAACAGGTACAGCTTTTAGGTTACTTTCTATTGAAATCAGTAAATCTTAATAGCAAGCAAAGGGCTGGACATTAGCTAATATTTACCAAGGTACTCTTAGCAGTCTGGCAAAGCAAGTGGATTGTATTATTGCCATTTTTTTTCTTCAGTGCTCCAGTATGCTTGTTCTGTAAAGAGTCCATTCTCAGAAAATAGACTTTCTGTAAACTTTCCAAACATCGAGTGTATGCTTATTGTGTATGATTTCAACAACAAATACAATCTGCTGCCATTCTCAAGGGGCTCATGTCAAATGGGGAAGTGAGCTCAGGAAATCAGCAAGTACAAGGTGGCGTGGTGTGTATGTGCCCAAAGGAACACCTTTGCTAAAATATCTCTATCAGATGGGTATCCGAAAAAAAATAAAAAAATAAAAAAATAAAAAAATAAAAAAAAAAGATGGGTATCCGACCTCTGCGCAACACTTCAACTGACAGAAAGCTCATTGCCTTTTGGCATTTGTTAATATATTTTTCTATCATTATTCAACAGCATTGTGTTGCTACTAGTACGTGTGCCAGGCACTGCGCTAGGTGTTAGAGAAGCAATTTTTACCAAATGGACACAGTCCTTGTCATGGCCAAGAAGCTTCCAGTCAAGGGTGGGGGTGGGAGATGCCAGGATGAGAAACCGTGGGAGTGTTCTGTGGAACACTGTATCTGAGGGGCAGAGAGGTATGCTATCAAGGGCAGACCTGAGGATGGTGTTGGACTCCCATGTAGTAGGAACTATAAGTATTTGTTGAGTGATGACAAAGAAACTCATCAACCCATGCATAAAAGCAATGAGTTTGCCATCACGTATGTGGGTCCCCCTCTAATCGCAATGTTTTAGAAGAGACACACCTGTGTGTGTAGTACTAAGCAACTGCACTGTAATTGTGTGTGACCAGGCAGGGGCAGCAGAAGAGCATGTGAGGGGCTGAAAGAGGTGCTGAGGGACTAGATAACAGGGTGCTGGGGGGCTCAGCGACACGCTAAGCTGGAAAAGCAAGCAATGGGCAACGTACTCATTGGTGGAACACCATGTGAGATATTTTCATTATAGAACTAGAGAATGGACCGGTATGAAGAACACTGGTCTAACTCTGCTTCAGGGACAATTCGCTATAATTTTAATTAAGTCTGAAGTCTCTTCTGCTTATGAGCCCTTCAAATTCCTGAAAATAAACATGTTTTCCTCCTGGATCTTCTTTTGGCCAAAAACAAAACAAAACAAAACAAAAAACAAAAAAACCGCACACTTCATTTGAATGCAACTCCCACATCAATCAAAACTCCCTTCATTTTAAGCGGAGCGCCCATGGTGTGTACCTATTGATGATATTTAAAGAATCAATACAGAGGTGGTGCATTTGCAGGTGTCCACCTGAGAACAAGCCAATCTGGATTTGGGGCTTCCTACAGCACTTATCACAATGTCTCCTGCCTGGCGCCAGCATGCTGGGCACCCACAGTATCCAAGG